GTTTAGGGCTGTTGTGCATAGGGTCGCTATGAGTCGGAAACGACTCGATGGCACATAACAACAACAACAACAGGGCATTTCTTACATTCCACTTCTGTATAAATAGTTGGCTGTTTCTATATTGCCTGGCAAGTTAGCATTCCTTGTAACCAGCAGGGAAACTTGCCATTCATGCTGATTTTCAGTGATTATTTTCCCTTGTTTTCTTTAATTCTTGGAGTGGCTTCAGTGAGTGGTTAAAACAACCTTGTAGATATGTATCTAGAAGGTCAAGAGCTTAATTGAACCTCTTAAGGAGAGGAAGTCACGCTGGAATTCTTGCTGGCCTCTTTTACATCCTTCGGAACTTCCCTAGTTCCCATTTGATTAGGAGGAGAAGCAGTATGATGTTTCTAGTTTCCCCAGCATCCTCTGAACAGATCAGACATAGCAGGGGTGATAAACTTAGCACTGAAATGCTTGAAGCTTTTATCCTTGCTTTGTGTTCATGCCAGCTTTATTTTCCCTTCTTTGACAAAATTGATGTTGGTTTTCCTGTGAAGAAACCAGTGAAAGCAAGTCCTGTGCCTCCCAGAAAAGTCATCTCATGCAAAGCTCAAAGATCAGGCTCCCTCTTGCTGGCTTGGCCTGATTTTGTGAAGAAACAGGCATTTCTAAAAAGAAGATTTGTTGATGCAGTTATAGGCCCTGCTCTTAATGTCACAGGCTGCCGATTGGGTTTTTTTGGGGTTTTTTTGGTCTATGGAATCATGTTAGGAAATCCTGAACCTGGGTGTCAAATTGATTAAAAACTTATCATCCAAATCCATGATCGTCAGAGAGGGTATCCATTTCTCCAGAACTCGGCTCCCTGGGACTTCTCCACCATTCCTTTCTCCCCAAACACCTGATGTTTTAGTTTTATTTGGTTTTCTAAGAAGTAAATAAGGATCTTTCTCTTGGATCTCCCTCATAACGTTTTTCATCTCCAGATACCTCTAACCTATTTGGAAACAGTGGAGCCAAAACATTTGGTGGATTTACCAGTTCATCATTTGGAGAACAGAAACCAGCTGGTACTTTCAGCTCCGGAGGAGGGAGTGTGGCATCCCAAGGTTTTGGGTTTTCTACTGCAAATAAAGCAGGTACTCTTCTACACAGTTGTTATGGCTGCTTAGATATTTGTGTGTGCAGAACTGTGGAAGGTGCACTCTCAAGGGTAGTTACTTCAAAAGAGTACAGTTGTAGTATAGATGAAGTTACATTTCTTCCCTAATATATTTTTCTATTCATTGAGCATCCCCTATGTTCCTAGCATTGTTCTAGACGTTCATAGATGTGTTTAAAAGCAAAAGAATGCATGCGATGCAATCTGTAAGAAAACATAGGGTCTCTTTATGGAGGAAAGTGTTGTAGATATTTAACAATTGTAGAACAGTTGATGTAAGAATGTGACAATAGAATCATGGAAGCATTCTGAGTCACAGACTTGGTTTGGGCACCCATTACCTATAATAGTCAAGGGAGAGTATCGTTAATTTCTTTTATCTTTATTGTTTTGCCCTATCTTCCTTAAGTCCCTTTTTTTAAACTTTAATTGAAGTATATTTACACATTATGTATACAAACTCCCTAAGTATGTAGCAGGCAAGCATAGGTAGCTCTGATCTAGAGCTGCAGCCACCTCAAATTAGTGCTGGAATAGTCACATTTTGAAACTCAACTGCCAAGGTTCCCAGATGTGTGTACCTTAATTCATGCTTGTCTCTTGGACAAGTCTATGTTTGGCTGTCAGGAGTTAAATTGTTTAACTGCAAAATTAACATCAGAATGACCATTTGTGTCCTATTTCATTTGGCGCCCACCCAGGTTTACTGTGTTTCTCTAGGGCATTTTCTCTGCATGTGTTTTATTAATCTCCTTTCCTCTTCTGTCCAGTTTACTTTCTGTATCATTGTGACTTCTCATTTTTCACTCACCTTCTACCAAGAACTCTAAACAATATTGAGTATAGGCACAGGATTAAGTCCTGTGTGTTTAGGAAGAAAGTGTAACTAGATCCACACTCTCTTCAATAATTCATCTGCAGGGGTTTTTTAGCACTTTTTCCCCCCAGTCTGCTATATTTGTAACCCAACTATTTCCGTTGTCATAGCTTGGAATTTCACTCATAGTTTTAAAATGTAGACTTTTGACCCAAAGTGAACCTTTAACAAGAATTATTTCTCACTTGTATAGCCACTATTAGTGATAACTAAGAAAGTAATTGGATCACAAAGTAACAGTTCACAAAAGCATTCAGCTATTAGCTTTCTCATATGCAGTGCCTAACCTTTCCTGATTGAAGTAGCAGAAGCTTGTGGTATGATTATACTTATAATAAAAAAAGGATTCATCCCCTGACCTTAGATTTCCTTTCTGCAAAGGGCACATCAACTCCTTGTTTGCTCCTGGGCCCTCGTTATTTTTTTCAGCTTGTAGCTCATTGACCGCTACTCATTTTAAGGAATGAATGATTACTCTGCTTCCTACAGGGTGGTCTCCATTAGATCACTTTTGGGATACTATTTTATTCCATTGAACTAGAACTCACTACATCTCTGTTCTACCTTTGAATGGTTTAAGCAGTGGTATCTTGGAGGAACAGAAGAAATAGCATAGGTAGGGACATTCTTCTTCTCACCTGCTGGGCGTCTCCACCAGCCCTGGCCTCTGTTCTCTGTGATCACCTGTGTATGTGCTGCCATCAGGCCAGTCTGGTGTCCAGGTGTATGCGCATTAGTGCTGCAAGCTTGCAAAAAATGGCTCCAACCCCAGGTGCTGCCCTTGCAGTTAATTTATTATTTTAGAATTCAACATTATCCTCCAAAAAAGAAAATCAACAGCCTTTTTATTGAGGACAGTTCAGACTGTCGAAAGAAAGCGGTTTTTAACAAATCCCATTGACACAAAGAAAGAGAAAGACACTGGTGAGCAATGTGAGCATCATTAAGTTTTAAATAAATAAAAAGCTCCTGGCTGAGCACCGTGCTGTGCATCTCTTCATTTCTGCTGTAACCCAAGTCATGGATTCTCTCTGAGAGGCAGTTTGCAGCTTCTTGTATTATTTGCCTTTCCATGTAATTAGATCCCTTGCCTGTGTATATTGATAAGTAATAAAATCTTCGGACAACTGGGCAGGGATTGGAGTTCTTGGGAATGATTTCAGTGAAGAATCTCAAAATCTCACACAGGAGCTGTAAAGGATCATAAATGCTCTGAGTTGGTTTTTAGTAGTGATCTGATTTCCCAAGATTCTTTAAGTTGGTGGCATGCAGCTTGCATCCACAGGATCAGAGAAGTCCTGGTAAAACAGGGCCATGCTAGACACTTAGATTCCAAGAGACTCCAGCCCCCTCTGTTAGAGTTGGAGCAACATGTTTTGATTTCTACTTTTTAGGATTTTATTATTATTTTGCTGCTAAATGGGCCTTGCCCTTGGTTATAGTTGTTTGTATTTGATTTCTAACATCCGCTTTTCCCTCTCTTTTTCTTCCTCCTTTGATTTGGTTTCTCATCACTCAATGTCTTCTCTTTCTGCCTCCTGTTTTCTTTCTCCCACTTCTGTTTGTTTGCCTCTGTTTTGCTCAGGTGGCTTCGGTGCTGCTCCAGTGTTTGGCAGCCCTCCTACTTTTGGGGGTTCCCCTGGGTTTGGAGGGGTGCCAGCATTCGGTTCAGCCCCAGCCTTTACAAGCCCTCTGGGCTCGACGGGAGGCAAAGTGTTCGGAGAGGGTACTGCCGCTGCCAGCGCAGGAGGATTCGGGTAAGCCCCCGGGGGGACCTGGGGAAACCAGCAAGCTCATGCCAGCCAGGAGAGCTGCGACCTACTGCTCTTGTTTGGACAAAAAAGTTCGTGGATTTTTCCATCTCTTGACTGTGAGCTGAAATCTTGACCCTCAATTAGGGAAGGCATTGCTCTAGGAGTCCTCATCCTCTCACTTCGTCAAGACAGGCTCCTCTTCTGTCCCCTAATGTGTAAAACGCTGCTTGTGGGACCCCTCTTCTCCTGGGGGAGCTGGTTAAAAGAATGGACATGAAGGGTACTTTGAAGATACTTCAGGTTTGATCCCAGACCACCACAGTAAAACAAGTGGTGCAGTAAACTGAGTCACACAGGGTTGGTTTGTTTGTTTATTTCCCAGTACATAAAAAAGTTATATTTATAGTGTGCTAGTCTGTTAAGTATAGTTCTGATGACCTAGTGATAAGAAGCTGTGCTGCAGTTCCAAAGGCATGCGATTCAAATCCACCAGCTGCTCTGTGGGAAATGGATGGACAGTCTCCTCCTATGCTGTTGACTGCCTCTGCAAACCCACTGGAGGGTCAGCTGTTGGTCAGTTCCAACTTGACAGCACACAACAACAACAACAGCAGTCTCTTAAATGTACAGTGTGGTGGTGGTGTTGTTAGGTGCTCTTGAGTCAAGTATGACTCATAGCGACCCTGTGAACAAAAGATCTGAACCCTGCACTGTCCTCACATTTCCTGACACACAGAGCCCATTGTGGCAGTCATCGTGTCAGTTCACCTGGTTGAGGGTCTTCCTCTCTTTTGCCCACCCTCCACCCTTTCCATCATCATGTCCTTCTCCAAGAAATAGCCTCACCTAGCAGCATGCCCAAAGTATGTAAGGCAAAGCCTCATCCTTATTGCCTCCAAAGAGCACTCCAGCTGTACCCCCGTCAGGACATGTCTGTTGACTCCATGTGTCCTGCTCTTATCCCACACAATCATTCAGTGTCTCAGTCCCGTAGGCCAGTTTGACTTTATATGTTACAGAGTTCTGATGATCACTTAACATTCAGAGCCTTTTTCCTGCCCTACACATACCCCACTTGAAAATATCAATGCATGGATTTGCCCTTAAGAGCCCCAGAAATCCACTCTGGTTACAAGACCCCAAGGAGAAAATCACCTTTTACCACACCATAGACTCCCAATAAGTACATATGGTGGTGATTCAAGTAGAAACTCGTTCAAGGACGGCCCTGCTGCCTGAAAGCAGCCCTGCAATACCTCACACCCTTGAAACCAGGCTCGGGAAGGATAAAGCTAAAGGGTAGGATTTGTTTGGGGAAATTGTGAAGGTAGTTAGATGACTGGCAAGATGATAGTGCCTTTATCTTAAAAATAAACTGCAGTGTGTTCTGTAAATATCCAAGGTCAGCTCTGTCTCTGTCCTCACTTAGCTGTGTTGGCCATGAGAAAACCCTGAAGTGGACTTCAGAGATAAGAGGGGATGAAAGTGACCTGAGCCAACGCTTGCATTAAACAGAGCTGTCCGATCCCTGAACTTTTTCTTTAACAACTTCTTTTCCATGTTCCAGATTATGACAAGTTATAAATTGAAAACTTAAGATAGTGGGATTTCTATGTCACTTACTGAACTTGTTTCTTTTCAAGAGTTCCCATCCAGAGAAGAACTGAAGAAAAATAAGTAGGAAAGGAGAGGAGAATTATAGACACGTGAGAAATTATAAAATAAAGTGACAGAGTAAAACTGAAGAATGTTGGCACTATTAGGAAGAACAAGATATGCTTAGTTTCCCAAAAGGTAGAATTTTCAGACAGTAGACAAAAGCTAAGCTGTTAGAGAGAGTGGGTTTCACATTCTCTTCTTTTTCTTCCCAGAGCTGGGAGGAAGTTTTGTGCTTTTTTCAGAGGCTACCTCTTAAATCTCAAGTGATTGCCTCAAATCATGTGTTTCATGCCACTGGGCTTACAACAGGGGTCTGAGGTTTCTGGTAGCCGAGTGGCAACACAGCACCCCTAACCACGGTCTCATTTCTTACTGGAACCCAGATTTGGGAGCAGCAGCAACACCACGTCCTTTGGCACTCTCGCCAGTCAAAATGCACCCACTTTCGGGTCCCTGTCCCAGCAAACTCCTGGTTTTGGGGCTCAGAGTGGTGGCTTCTCCGGGTTTGGATCCAGTGGAGGAGGTAGGTGGCACTCTTCTCTTCACGGACACCACTTACCTTTTCTTAGGTTGAATATTCAAAGAAGGACCTTTTCTTTTGAAGAAATGAGACCTTTTTATTTGACTTGTAGTCAAATTTAGTATTTTTAAAGCTGAGAGTCATTTAAAAATGCAGTGTTCTTTTTTGGTTTTAATTAGACTCATATCATTGTACCATTTGCTACCAAATAAAGAAATGACTGACTTGGTTTTTCTGTCAAGATTTGAATACGAAAACTATACAGTCTTACTAAATTTTGGTTTAAAAATCTAAGCCAACAAACTGAAAAAAAAGGAGATGTAGAAACTTCACATAAAGCCTTGAGTTCATTCTTTAAGTGCATCTTCTGATAGCAGAACATATGTGTTGTTTTTAATTCTTTAAGAAACTTAGGAGCTACATAATTAAGCATGATTACTTTACAAATGACCAAACCAAAGGGGCTGAGTGGTTTACTCAGAATCATTTCAGTTAGCAGAGCTGGGCCTAGAGTGCAAGTGTCTCGATTCTCTTCAAAAGAAAAGGAAGCAAGTGGGTGGAAAACCAAGTTCTGTTAAAATGGATTTCTGTGTACAGCAAGGGGGCTCTGTTAATAGAGAGAGTTGCATTGCTAACCCAAAGATAGCACCTCTCTAGGGGTTGGAATCCACTGACAGCCCTCAGGGAGAATAAGGAGCACGCTCCCTCCATAGGACTTCCCACCTCCAGAAACCCTTTGAGGCTCACCTCTGAATCAGTTCCAACTCCCTGGCAGTGAGTTGAGTGGTCCAGTGCGTCTAAGTGCGAGGCTGTGCCCGAGACCCTGCACTGCACTGGGGAGAGGGCAGGGGCAGACCAGCTGGAGCAGTGATGCTCAGACTCAGAAGCTTCCCTGCTGGGTCTGAGCACTTGAGGAGAGAATGGGTCCTCCCCATCAAGTCCTTCCTGCACATCTGGCAGATAGGATGGGGGAGTCCTTCAGAAACAAGACAAAGAACTTGACTAGAGTTCAAGTGTTTTAACATTGTCTTTTTCATCTGTTTTTCAGGATTCAGCTTTGGATCATCTAACTCGTAAGTATCTATGCTCAGTTTTAAGTCTTCCATTAAAAGCATTAAATAAGAATGGAGGAGTATGTGATATGTAGAAAGACAGCTGTCAAAATATAATTCTTCCTGAATTTGTCCATTTTTTATTCGCTCTTTGACTCTTTCAAAAGCTTGTTCTGGAAGCAGGAGATCTCTCCAGCAGTGTTTGGGTTTTGACCTTTGTTTGGATTTGCTAATCTCTTAAGAAATAAGGTAACAGATGCCATCCTAGTCTACTCAAGGACAGTAAATTAGAGAGAAGTGTGTGCCTCCCCAAGAACAAAACACTCAGCGGCAGGGCTGACACGTTGCCGCTCCTCAATGCCACTCCTTGTTCCCTCTTAGTATCTCTCCACCTCCTGCCTGCTGGGCTTCAGGCCGTTACTAAGCCTTATCTTTTGATCCTCACCCTGTGCTTCTGTGTAGAATTGCAGTAACATTAAAAATTCAGTCTGAGCACAAGTCAGTTGCATAAGCACCAGGCTCCTTCCACAATGAGAAGTGATCGCTGATTTCGCCGCTCTCCTGTGTGCTCCCTTGCAGGTCTGTCCGAGGGTTTGGGGGATGGAGAAGCTGAATGGGTGTCATCACTCCTGCCCTGCTGGCTGCATTCTCTGATCCTCCTGCAGACAAATCCTGAAGCCGTCTTCTAAAACAGACTTCTCCACTGAAACATGCTTGTACCCACAAAGGAACAACAGAAACCAAAAATCTTATATGCTTCCTTGCTTGTCTGTTTTGTTTTCTATTTTATTTTGAGGTTGGGGGGGGGGGTTCCTGCTGTTAAAATGTTCTGGTGTGTTTTGGTACAGAATGTACATGGGGTTTTTCAGTCCAGGAGAGGTTTTCCCATTTCTGTGGCTCTGAGAAACCTACACTGCTTCCTATCAGCCAGCAGTGTATGTGTTCAGGGGTGGAACCTGCGTAGGGTGCTGGCCATGAAGAGATTCTGCCAGGCTTTCTCCGGGGAACCTTCCATTACCACACTCAGACCCAGAGCCCCACGCAGAGTGGAGGGCCCCTTCCTGAGCCACAGCTAGGCATCTTCTCAGCCTGCTTTTTATACTGTTATATGTCAGGACTTCCATTGTGGTGACTAATTGGGTGGAGGCATCCTAACTCACGTAAGATCAAGCATCAGGTGCGTTTCAGAGGTAGTACCATTAAGTTCAGCTGCGGGGCCGGCATAGAAATTAGGCCAATATGAGGATTCCATTACCTTGATCTCCTTGCCTTGACAGTAACGACAGTGACTAGTGATGAGTGAGGGTGCTGCCTTAGAACGCCCTCATCGGCCTGCGTTTGCCTCTTGGAAGCTACATATCCCACAGCTGCTTTTTTTCTGCCTTGGAAAGGTGGACAATTGATTGAGAAGGCAGCCTTCCTCTCCAGGATGTGACAGCAACATGGATAACCACAGCCAGCACTCTCTCAACTACAGTGCGAAGAGACAAGGCCTGTGGAGGCCTCTGCTCTCTCCACGTACTGCTGGCTGGCAGGGCTGCCTTTTTACAACAGTGCTTGCTAGCAGGGCTGGTAGTAGGACATTTGTTCATGAGCTTATTTCCCTAAAATGACCTATCTTTCAGGCCTAGACATATTTCCCCCTTAGACCTGTGAGACCCTTCAGAGTTGCTGATAACCAGGGCTGCCCTTCCTCAGAAAGCTGGGGCTGCGTGTCTTATCTCTGAGGCTCAGAGTATGGCAATGCTGGGGGGCCAGTAGCAGGGGAGGGTTGGAAAGGGAACAGTTTAGAGTTTTGCACATTGGAAAACTGTATTTTAAAATGTTTTAATAAAAAATTTTACATACAATACTAATTCATCCTTCTTGGTTTTGTTGGCGAGTCTGGGAGGGTAGACTGGGGTTCTGGTCCTCCCCCGTGGCATATCCTGGTCAAGGCGTCATCCCGCCTGGTCCCCCTGAAGAACCTGGAGTAGCGTGCAGATTCACAGGCCCGAGGCCAGAGATTCTGACCTAGGACAGACAATGGAGCTTCCCCTACCCTGAGTTTTTGGGGCATTTTCAATGGTATCATAAGCTCATAGGGAGAAGAGGCTTCCAGAATGCAGCATTGCTGGGTTTCCAGCCTTCCAGCAGCTGTTGCAGAGCTGAGGTCTGGATTCATGTGTGTCTGTGTGACAGCCGTGTCGCCATCTTTGCATTTCTAGATTCTAGGTCTGTTCGTACCTGCCTTTATGCTAAGGGGCTGTCTCTTGAGGAGGGAAAGATGGAGAGATGTGGGCTTTAAAAGTTTAAGGTTAACCTGCTTTTGTTGAATCCTTGCAGAATTGGTCATGTACATGTTTCCATAAGCCTGTCACTTAAGGTCCCTGTCCCTGAGCCATTAAACAGGGACAGTCCCTAAGAGCCCTCCACAGTCAATTGTGGGTCCTCTCCCGTATGTGCTTTCACTGTCTTGTAAGGGAGCAGTGTAACCAGGTAAAGAGAACTTCAGAGTCTTCTGACCAACATCCAATCTACCCTTCTGGTCCCCCCAGTTTCCCTTCTATAAATAAAAATGGGTTCAGCCTAAACTCTTGACCTCAAATTCTATGTTAATCCTCCACTGAGGTGGCATGTGACATCTCTACATAAGGCATATCAGCTGTGCTCCAGGCAGCACCAGAAGAATGTGCGGCTGGCGGGTGGCAGCCCCTTGAGTTCCTTTTTTGGGGGTCAGATATAGCGGTAGGTGGCCCAGGTCATCTCAGAGCTTAGCCAGTGTGCATCCTCTGAAGCCCAAGCTCCCGGGATGTTGGCTGGGGATGCAATGAGCCTCCAGCCTGCCAGGCAGAAGCTGGCAGGACGTGAGCCTCTCCTCAACAGGGTGGTCAAGAGGGCATGGAGGCTGGGAATAGTGTCCTGCTGACGAGCTGGAGTCCCAACTGCCAGATTGCCCTAGGGGAACAACCCACACCCAGCTCTTAGCAATTGGGGGTGGGGGTAGGTCACACGGTTGGATTTCTATTCAAAGGCAGGAAGGGAAAAGGGAGAGCAGATTTAATGACTTGGGTCATGTTTTGCTTGTCTTTTCCAGAAGTAAAATGTGCATTCATAATTGGTGCTTCAGATGGCAGAGCAAAATGAAAGCCATGGTCGTATTGCTCAGGGACAAGCAGAATGAAAAAGCAGTGCCCATAAAATCAGCTCCTTACCCGAGCAGAAGTACCAAATCACCCTGCACGTTGGCATAGACCCCTGGTGATAGCCCTGTGCGCCTGTGGCTCTCCCTGTTGGAGGATCCTGATCTTGCCTCCAGCTTTGTTTTCTAAAACGTTGCCCACCACATTGCTGATTACCCGGGAGAGCACCTCAGGGCCGGCCCACAGGTGGGGAATTTGGCCGAGCTCTCTTGGGCTACACCAACTGCCCAAAAC